TATCCCAATTCATGACACCATTGGCCACAGGATCCTACTATAGATCTTCAAATGCATATATGACATCAGTCCACCATGCCTCAGCGCCCTCATGGAAAAACCAACCCACCACCATTCAACAAGAGCTATTGCGAATAATAATGTCCACATCCCAAAAGCAAGATCTAACGCAGGAAAACGACGATTTTCATTTATGGCATCTACCTTATGGAACAGTTTCCCTGATGAGGCAAAGAAAATATCATCGCAGCCGTCATTCAACAAATATTGCAAGAGTCACTTTAGTCAGAAACTCGTGAGTTCAACTAAACTTAACAACATAAGGCTTTATTAATTAAGACATCTAAAAATATAATTAGTAGTTAATTGTTTAATATAAGTGTATAGTCAATCAGTATCAGTGACAGTGTTTTTCTTTGTTAAGAACATTTAGTGTTCGTTTGTTTGCATGTTTTCTCTTGATAACTTTATTAAGACTTTAAGTTGGTTGCTTTTTTGATGTACGAACTGCCGAAGTTCATGCTTGCAGTTTTAGCTGAGCATGATCCAACTTTCGGTTGTTCGTACATGGAGAAAGTGCCAAATATTGTCATGTTTATAATGACACTTTAGACACTTGTGAGTTGTGTGTCAACGTATTTCGACATATTATTCTGTAAATATAATTTAAACATAGTGGAAAATTGCCTAATTAGAAAATTGGGGCTTTCTCGGGGTATGAACAACTGATTTGTAGTACTGGTTAAGGCTGAGATATGAGTGGAAAATTGCTGATAAGCCATCAGTATGCGTGTGTGGCGATACTTTCAATATTGATCACGCAATGATCTGCAAGCGAGGTGGGTTCATCATACAGCGCCACAAGGAGCTGCGAGATCTTGAGGCTGATATGCTTAACATCGTCTGCAATGATGTCGAGGTTGAACCTGTTCTTCAAGAGTTAACTGGCGAGGTTTTACCAAGAGGAGTAAATACAGCATCCGACGCTCGCCTAGATATCCACGCTCGAGGGTTTTGGGAGAAACAAAGGTCCGCGTTCTTTGACGTTAGGGTTTGTCACCCCAACGCGGAATCCTACAAAGACCTGAGCCCTCAACAGATATACAGGCAACATGAAAACGAGAAGAAGAGGATGTATGCCCAAAGAGTGATGGAGATAGAACACGGAACGTTTACACCATTAGTATTTACAACGACTGGAGGCATGAGTGAAGAGTGCGAGAGGTATCATAGCAGATTGGCCGAGCTCATAGCAGCGAAGAAAGGCGAAGACTACTCCACGACCATGTCCTGGATATGAGCCAAGGTCTCCTTTGCCATCTTGCGGTCAGCTCTACTTTGTCTCAGAGGGACTAGAGCACCCAGGAGGATAACAACGAACGTTCAAGAAACGGACTTCGAAGTAGACAATTCTTGTGCCAAAATTTAGGCTTAGCAGAGTGCGACACAACGTAAAATCAATCCATAGGAAACCGGCACAACTCTTTGAAAATTCAACAAAATTGTGTGAAATATATTTTGATCACTCAGCCAATTGCCGCCATTTTGAAACTGGACTGAATATGTCACCCTTTTGGAGTTCGGAATTGTGCGCGTGCGTACAAGTCTATATATGGGCTAATAAACGAAAAATGTACCAAAAGCATGGCATGAGCCGGCTATTACGTACATAAATACGAGCCTGCTACTATAATATATAAATTGTGGAATCGAAGAATCGTTGGCATTTTGGCTAAATCGATGCACTCTGAGCCTGCGATGCGCGAACGCAAACTCGATTTCTCGACGACGAAGAAAACAGAAGAAAACAGAAGAAAACGGCTGACAGAAGAATAGAAGAAAACAGAAAATTAGGGATTTAAGATACTTGACCTTTCAGGTCAGTGTAATAATTCAATTTCTATAATTCTTTCCTCTCTTACCAAAGGAATTCTCAGTGTCAGACTCTCCTTCAACCTCATATCCAATAGTCAAGCCAGGCAAGGACAAAAAAACAATCAAAGCGGCTCCAATCAGTTGTATGCCAGTCATGTCTAATAAGAAAAAAATTCAGTGCGATTTGAGTGAAATTCAGCAAAGACACATAGGATTAAACGAAGCCGGACAAGTTCAATTATAGCTAGTTAAAAAAACTGCAAAGTTTTCTTATGATATATTAAGTGGCAGGCATTCATGTATAGTAAACAATTTTATTCCAAAGATCGAGGTTGAAAATCTTAATACAAAATTTTGATGTGCAATCAATTGCTTTGAAATAAAAACAATCCTTGTAAGAATTACCTTATTGTTAACCAATTTTAACCGATAACGCGCCTCAATCCAACAGTAAAACTTCTCTTAATTAATGTTGTGTCCAAGCTGCATTAGGGTAGCTGCCATATATATAATAAACACAACCTTCCTGTTGACAATATAATTGGAATGATTTATTGAGTTTTTGTATGCCGTGGTTGTTGGTGGGACAATGTAATTGGAATGATTTATAGAGCTTTTGTGTGCAGGGCTTGTTGGTGGGACAATATAATTGGAATGATTTATTGAGTTTTTGAATGCAGTGGTTGTTGGTGGGCAACGGTGTAAAATCTAACAAATATTTGATGACGTTGTAATTGTTTTATATAACTATAGTGATGCTTTATAAACATGTTGCTATATATGAACAATCTTTGCTATTCGGTAAAAGATAGAACAGTGCATGTTTAACACCGTAAATATTCAGCAGAGCTATTTATTAATTGGTTAACTTTAAATCATTTTTTGTAAGTTTCCATGCCACTTTATCGAAACTCTGTTCTTGCACTGAAGAAAACAACGCTTTTGGCGGTGAAGATTTAGAAGCAGTTGTATGTAAGCCCATTCGAAACACTTTGCGATTTGCAGGGCTTCGCAACAGGTGGGAAAGTTGTTGTCGCTGACCAAAAAATCGCGGGCAGAAACAAACCTCCATTGTATTTACATTCAAAACAAAGCAGAAAGTTAGGAAGAAGTTAAGCTGTTTTAGCTGACGATTTTTTTATTTCCATTCAACGATTTACAAATAAACTGTTATTCTTTTAAAAATCGATCATGGTTTTTTGTTTTGGAATGATTTTTTTTGTAATCGAGTGATTGGAAGAAGTGAATACGGCGACGTGAACATGGGAGCAAACACCGTATACGTCGAGCTATATGGCTTGCTTAAAACCGTAATAAACGAAGAAAAACGTGATATGAGAATGAAATGTAAGTTGAAATTTATTTTATATATGCCTCAAATTTTCAATCCTATGTTTCTTAATGTAACTTCAGCTGTCTAAGTTCAAAATACAAGCTAGCGAAATTTGACAAATCAGTTTGAAAATATGAAAAATAGCTCGACTTTGAACTGTGTTTTCTTAAAAATAGCCCGTGTCTGGTCTCAATTTAAAATATAGCTAAATGAAAAGAAAAAACTTTTCGATGTTTGTAGAAAGTAGATATAAAAAATATCGCCAGGAAAATAGGGCGAAAATAAAACGATGTTTTAGCTAAGTCTTTGAGACCCAGTTCATGCTTCGCACGTGCTGTGATCAAATTTTTGTCAAGAATCAAAGGCCGAAAAGTAAACTTACTTCATGAAAACCGCCTCGAGAAGGGTCTAGTTCGAAAATATAGCTCTTAATTTTCATTTCATGAGCATATTTTGGTTACACGTTTAACGTTTTGTACTTGATGAGATTCAAAATTTGTTGTATATTCAAGCCCGGCTTCAGCGTAATTTTGGTGATGACCGGAAGAGAAATGAAGATATTTTAAAAACTGGCCATGGCCTCACAATAAAATTTTCTAAAAATGTTCTCTGTTTCATGTATTTTTATTTGATATCTCAGGTATGAGCTGAAAATTGGGGGCTCATACAGTTTACGAGGTTATAAAATGCATAACTTGTCTCTATTTTCATACAAACATTCGAAATGTTTCGACAGCAAAGTAGTAACTGTTTCAGATCGAATGCACACGGACAGCACACCAGGGACAATGGCAGGGTACTGAAATAGAACGTCACTAAACAATTCTGTATAATTAATTTAGATCATGTCCATTTTCAACATAAAGCAGTCTTTTATTTTGTACAAAACATTTGGCAATATTTACACAATTGCGCTTTATAAACACGTGTTGCGTGTTGCGTATACGAGAAAGGTCAAAAGCGAGTACACTCCTTGGATGGCAAACAATATTAAGAAACAGATTTATCATCGAGACTTTCTTAAGAATAAAGCAATTAACACAGGATCTGAAAACATGTTTGTCGCATATAAAAGAGCCCGAAATGCGTTGAATAAACTTATTAAAGACACAAAAAGGAATTATTATACGAGTGTTATGCGAAAAATAATCCAAAGAATATGTGGAACACAATTAATAAATTAACAAATAAAAAATCTAAGACAACTACGATCACCAAGCTTAACATATCAAATGATGTTACTGAAGATCCAAGTAAGATATTACACACTTTTAATACCTATTTCAAGACAATTGGAGAAAATTTAGCTAACGAAATACCAGATACTACCGATGCACCTGAATCATATGTTACTCCTAGTAATTCAACTTTTCAAATGCAAAATGTGTCTGAGGTAGATGTATTTCAGTTGCTCATTACATTAAAGATATATAAAGCTTGCGAACATGATAAAATACCTCGGCCAAAGCTTTTGCAAGATTCGGCAGTAGTTATTGCTCCAATTTTAACTCATATTTTTAACCAGTCAATTAATACAGGTATTTTTCCAAATGGTTTAAAAACTACAATAATATCTCCATTATATAAAAGTGGAAGCAAGACAGAATGTATCAACTATATACCTATTTCAGTTCTGTCAACTGTTGCCAAAATTTTCGAGAAACTAATACCAGTGCAATTGTACGGGCATTTGGAAAATAATGCAATACTTGCCTCCCAGTAATCTGGTTTCAGGAAAAAATTTTCAACGAAAACATCAATGCTGGATGTAACTAATAAATGGTTGATAAACATGGATCGAGGATATTTAAACGGGGTAATATTCCTTGATTTAAAGAAAGCTTTTGACTGCGTAGACCATGAAATTTTGTTAAAAAAGTTAATTCTTTACGGATGCAATGGACTGACATTAGATTGGTTTCGATCTTATCTTACAAATTGTACTCAAATGTGTAAAATTGCTCAAAGAGTGTCCTCCCCGGTTGTTATTACTTGTGGAGTTCCTCAGGGGTCTAACTTGCACCCATTACTTTTTCTTATTTATGTACATGACCTTCCTAACTGTCTATCTTTCTCGAATGCAAGTCTGTTTGCCGATGATACAAATTTAACAACTAGCGGTATATCTGCCGAAGTTGTTCAAAGTCAATTGAATGAGGATCTAAAAAAAGTTCACGGGTGGTTACTTGCCAATAAATTAACTCTAAATATCGAAAAAACTGAATATATGTTGATAGACCCTAGACAACGTTTAAATGATATCCAAACTCCTACAATTAGATTAGGCGATACAGAAGTTAACAGAGTAAGTGAAATAAAAACCTTGGGGGTTGTGGTAGATGACCAGCTTCTTTGGAAAAATCATGTCGACGCTACAATTGCCAAGGTTTCAAAAGGAATCGGTATGTTGAGACGAATGAAACCTTACCTACCGAAACCTAAATGAAACCTTACTTTAATGCATGTCTACAATGCCCTAATTCTGCCTCATTTTGACTATTGTAGCCTTGTCTGGGATACATGCAGTAATTATCTAATTGAAAAATCACAAAAATTACATTAAGGGCTACAAGGGCTCATTTCAGGCAAATCGTACGAGATTAGATCGTGTGAGATTTTATCAGAACTTGGTTGGCGGCCACTGGCAGAACGAATAAAATTCAAAAAGGCAACGTTCATGTATAATGTGAAAAACAATAATCTAAATTAGCCTATGACATATTTTTGAAATTAGTGACAATGAATTCATAATTTGCGAAGTAATGCTTGTAAGTTGCAGTCTGCGGTTCTTTAGGACGTCAGCGAAACGCACATAACCATGAAACCGAACAATCCAAATCAATATATATTTAACGTGGTTTCTAAACAATAATTCACAAACATAGATATTTAACTATACAAATACGATTACAAACAATGAAACAACACAAGACAAATACCTGACTGTTAGTCCTTCTGGCTACCACACACTACAACGCTAAATTAACTTTAAAACAACAGGTGAGATCTCATATCAAATAAACCCAAAAAACAAAACATTTTTCCCAATCGCGAGTTTTTGTCCAGCCCTAAAGGCGGGTATAGATCCTACACACCGGCCCCTATCGCAGTAACCTACTCGATACTAAAAAAGGGATCTAGACTGTTAACTGTGTAACAACATACATAATGTCAAAGAACGTTTAAATGTCTCACACCAATGTCTAGCATTGGCTTTCTTCATCCACTCCTTCTAGCAAACACAGTTGTCGGACATCTCTTTTAAATTTTCCGTTGGTTGTTCTGACCGTAACGGGTCGGACAATCCCCTTTTCATCAGGATAAACTTCCTCAACAACCGCCATGGGCCATCTTCCGCGATGGCAGTCCTTGTCTACTAACAACACAAGATCCTTGACTGCTAGGTTTCTCTTCGGTTCGAGCCACTTTTGACGTTGTTGTAAGGTAGGGAGGTATTCCTTCAGCCAACGTTTCCAGAAAGTGTTCGCGAGGAGTTGG